TACCCACACACGCTCTTATCTATACGTGTGGTTAATTTAATAAGAGTTGAGTGATAAAGGTGACTGTGGGTAGGGGTATAACGTGTTAACCGGCACGTTTTTCCATCAAATTCTCGCTGTATTGAAAAATGGCTCTACTGCTGTTATTGAAATACATATAGGGAGAGTGCCTCTGGGGATATATAATATACGCTGTACTCGATACTGGAGGTACATTGTATTTTCGTTCGATGGAGTTGCATCACGTACGGAGAGGCTATACGAGGAGCTGCTTCGGATGCTCGGGGTTAATTAAAACAAAACATACGAACGAGGCTTTAGGGGAAAGGGTACAGCATCGATGTATGCCGCTACTGATTACGTATATGTATGCGTATACATGGTGATATGTGACTCTGCAACTACATAAATATTTTCCAACTTTGTTTACTTGGATTATCGACTTGTTCACGTTTTCCGTAATTTTTTTTTTAACAAATTATTTATTTCAGTAACTGGATTCAAAAACTTTCAAAGCAAGTCCATACACATGCCATTTGTAAACGATTACAATTTCAATCATGTTCATACCCAAAGTAATATACTCAAACTGTACTCTTTAAGTTGAAAAAAAAAAAAAAAACCAATGCATCGTAAAATGTATTTACAGCAGTGGAGAGAATATGGTACAATGGTATTATCCAGAAGTTTCTTTAGCTGAAAAAAAGGGAGCTCGTGATAAAGGACATTTCCTTTTTTTCCTCATCACCGTTTCCAACGAACTTCAAAGGAAAAAAGAAGCAACTGTCCATTAAGAGGTCATTTATTAGCTCTTCCACGAGAATATTAAGTAACATGAACAACAAAAGTCGAGAATGAGAATAATAGGCAAGAGGAAGAATTTTTCTATTAAAAGTTTTTTTCGTCGAAAAATCGTGAGAAAACCGTTAGCTTTGTAACAACTCAACTAAAAAAAAAATAATAATAATAACAATAAATAAGCAATTAAACGTTTGTTCAAAGTTTTTTAAGTAGACATACGTAGTCCCAAGGTATATTATCAATTTCGAGTCACCGAGAAATAAGTAAGGCCTAGAGGAAGAAACAAACGCGCAGCTGTGATGCAAGTGACTTTGGGGAGGAAGAAGAATAAATTGAAAGAGACGACTTGGCCCGCGATTCGACGGAAGACTTGGCTGGATTTTTGTTGAAGACCGAGTGAAAATCCTATTCTTTTCCTCACCCCTCACTCTACTCCGTATAATGTAATACGCTATGATACACTGAGACATGAAAAAAACTTTGACACGTTGAACCTGCTTTCTGCAGGCTCAAGAAGAATGGGATCTGTCTTTTTTTTCCTTCAGACTACAGTTATCTTTTACTAAGCTTACGTGAGTAAAATACGTTGCAGTGTTGATGTGATCATGCACACCAATCGTGTTTGGTAGCAGATGGACAATACAGATCGTTAGCTTCGTTTATTCTGGAGTCACGTTGACTGTCGTTCTGTGTGACCTTTCTACAATGTTCCATCGTAATAATTAACCAGGAAAGTTTGTGTGACCGAGAAGAAAGCCTTCAACTAGGTTATTGGTGTCATTTTACGAGTACTTTACGTATACCAAGTTACTCATAACTTTTCTGTGGACTATGATATATTTGCTTTTTTTTTTTTTTCTTCGATTCTTTTTCCTCTTCTTATTCCGAATGCGAGAACGGAAAAGAAGCTGCTTCTGACACCAGCCCAACAAAACTTTACTGCATTTTCAAGGATTACTTTCTGCGTTTACAGAAATTAATTTGCACTTCTTCACTCTGAGTGTCAAGAGGCTCACTATTTTGTCCCTTTTTTTCACTCCTTATCAAATCAAACGTCTTTTTTAATGAGCATTTTTAAAAAAGAAAAAGACAAAAATCTTTCTTGTACCAATCAAAATTACATCTCACAGAAACATAAAGGCTGAGGCTGGATAATTGAAAATTATTGAGAGTATGAACCACTGTAGACAACAAAAAATGCTGTTTTTGTCAGGACTCTGATCATAACATGATACGTGCACCTGAAAATTTTACAAACCACTTATAGCTAACTTTAAATTTTGTACCGAATGCAAAAGTACCTTGTACAACCAATTACACATTTTTATTTCTACCATCGAGGTTACCTATATGTTAAAATTTTTAAGTCTCCAGGAATATTTTAATATTTATTGTTATTTACATAAATTAAAAAATAAAAATAATAAAAAGTCTTTTTCTTCTACATCTTCCAATTTAGTGCCAACTTCTCTGTAGTCTAGTTATGTGCCTAATCGTACGTTTTTATATGCTTGGAGTAAACCATCATAGATTATTGTATGTCCAGAACTTTGACTAGGTCACTGAAAATAATAAACAATTGACAAGTTTTCCAGGTAATGAATTGTAAAAAAAAGGTATCAAACTTTAGATGGTAATTGATGGTTGTGCATTGAGAGAAAAACTATAAAAATTATAGGAGAAAACTTTAGAAAATTACGGTTTTTTTTTTTTTTTTTTAATTTCTGTTCAAACAATAATTCATGTTGTTCAAATAGTGATTATTTTTTATTTTATTATTTTAAATCTACTTACTTACTGCGTTCTTTTTTTTTTAATGGTTTGAAGACACATAACATGTATTATTGATCTGAAACGCGTTTGTACCATATTGTAAGAGTATGTGTAGTTGACACTATCAAAATTTGGCTCCTTGATATACGTGAAATCCCAAAATATTACTCCATGTCAAATGTAACAATGCAGACAACCTATAAGTAAAGGATACAGGATTTATTTCACATCTTCCACACCCGATCTATTAGCACTTTGTTCCTGCTGGGCTAGTATTTTTTTGTTTAAATGTTACTGATGACTTTTCAAACGATCTTAGCTCTATTTTGTTAATTTTGAGATTTTAACTGAAAATCGACAAAAATATATTTGTCAATGCCAATACTAATATGTAAATGAATAAAATAAACAAAATTACATCAAAGCGTGTAACCGCGATTACGAGCTCATGCTATGTAGATTAGTTGGATTTTTTTAGTTTTTCTTCCAGAATTCACAAATAATTTTCAAGTATTTTTAGAATACTCATACTGGTGTTGGATTTTGCTCAAAAATAAATTTTGTGAGTTAAGAAAAAATAACCATAATTTGTAAAACTAAAAATCGTACTTAATTATCAACAAAAAAATACTCCAAAAAATTTTCTTTACGTAAAAACTGGCTAACGATTTTAATGATTTGAATGAAAGAATTTAGTTGATGTAAATAGGTTGTCCACGAGGCAAAAACAAAATAAGCAAAAAAAGATGCTTCCCGGTAAGGATAGATGGGTTATAAAAGATAAAAATACACAAAGCGAGAGGATGAGTGTTGGAGAGGAAGAAAAAAAAAAAAAAAAAAAAAGAGATAAAAGGCAAAAGATGTAAAGATTTCGGGACAGTGGAACAAAAGTAAGTTATACATGTACAAAATACAGATAAAAGTGGAGATGGCAGTGTAAAGAGAGAAACGGAAAGGAGGACATGAACAAAGGTAGTAAACGCGAGAGTGTGTTCCTATTTTTTATCTTTTACACATATGTTATGTGAATTTGATGCCTTACAGTTCGATAAAAGTAAAAACAAAGTGATCGTATCAAACACGTCAGAAACTGTTCTTGTTTCCTTATGCTGTAAACATCGTGCGTATAAAATATGAACGAGGAGATTTGGGGTCGTTGCTAAATTAGAAACATTTAGTTCTGCATAAACAATTTTGACACTCTAGTAGACGAAAAGAAAAAATAGCAAGATACGCTTGCTTTATTTATTTTTTAATTCAACACTTTTATCAAATAGTCATTTCAAATTTGATGAAAATTTATAAAAATTGAATGTCCTGTTGAATATCACAAAATGCGTAAGTTGTGTGGTAAAGACATTGTTTTTTTAAGCTAATGTTATTATTAGCGCGCAAAAAGAAATTTGTTATTACAGATTTATCATTATTTGTTCTAGATGGTATCGAAAAATCTTTAATTCTACAATACGTATATATACTTGATCTAATTCTTAGTATTGCAATAAAAGAATGGCTCTTGTATTATCAATCAGTAAAAAAGGAGTTATTCTTTCGAGCTTTAATAATCAACATTTTTAGATCCCGTCAATGGCCAAGCATGTAACTAATCCGAAACTACTACATCTGAATCCAGCAACTAGGAAATATTTTTCTTGTTCCGAACAATATATCACAGACACGCATCGTTGCTGAAAAAAAAAAAAAAAGAAAAAATTCGGAGTGACAGGACGAGAAGAGAGGGAGCGAGGGGAAGGGTGATGGTCGGAAAACAGCAATAGCATGGGTAAAGAGGTCGCACCCCCCTCCCTCGACTAAACGCGAACGGAGAAAAAGGAGGGGGTTGGAGTAGAGCGAAAGCTCCGATAGGCGCAGGGGAGGAAAAAGAGGTAGGGGCGAAATGCAAGAGTAGAGGGTCGAACTCGAATTTCGCCCCAAGCTGTAACAACGAGCCCACGGAGTAGGTATACATGTAGACGTGCCGGAGTGGGGTGAGGGGTGGGAAGAAGCTTGCAAGCACAGGTAGGGAGGAAAGGTAGGTGGGGAGGGAGGGAGGGAGGGAGATGGGGTGCGCAAATGCGCGCGGCGTCGTCGTGCGCCAAAGTGCATCGGAGTGAGCGAACCACGTGGCCGCGCGGCAATCGATAGTGCAGTGTTGTCGCGCGGGGGTCACTCAACCTGCTCCCTCTGCCTCCCTACTTTTCCGCCCGCGAGGTCAAACCCTCGTGCTCTCTCCCTCGCACTCTCGCGGCAGGGCGCGCATAGGGAAGAGAACAGGAGAGCCGTGCTCATGCTTGGCTGCTAGTACTCCGGCTGCGTTACAGAGCTGAGTGATACGCGCGCTCCTCGGGCCAGCTGTAACTTGTACCTCGAATCTTTTATCCCATTTGGTGATTTTTCTTTGGCTTTGCAGTCAAGATCGAGTGAGGGACACGCAAGTTATCTCGGGGATCTTGCACGTGACCAAAGCACGTGAAACACGCGTAAGTACCACTAATATCACCTCAAGGGGGGTAGGGGTTGCCGCTGGAGAGATTTTGACGAAGGGGTTGGTACGTGCAGTGGGTGAATGCGTCGGGGTAACGCCAATGTGGGAATGACCCCACGATGTGGGTCAGTGTGGGAGGAAAGGGGTGGGGGATTTTTGAACCGTGACTGTGCCATCTTTTTGTATGACAACCTGCGAACGTGCGCACCTGTATGTATAATATTGTAGATTGCAGAAAAGTAGTTTTGTAGATTTGCAATCAACAGCAGCTGACTAACTTTTGGTGTATGTTGGTGGCATCTAAAGAACCAGTTGAATATAGTTTGGACAATCCAAGAAAAATATATTCTTTGTTCTGAAGGATTGCATCAGTTTTTTTCTTAGGGTTGCTGAATTACATCATTCAGTCAGAGTTTACACATTAGTCCTGTTTTTTCCTTTTCGTTTTAGATGATAAGGAAACTTGTGAAAGTTACAACTCAAGTGTGAATTTTATACTATACAAAAAAAATTTTTTTATTTTGATTTGAGATGTGGATTCAGCTATCAAAGAGATATAAGTCTCGTCCTACATAACTAGAAGCTTTGAACAGTACGTTTTGCACAACGAAGCTACACAAATAATACGTTGTAGGAAACAAGTAGTAAAAAAAAGTAAAAAGTATTTTAGTATATTAAAAAAAAAAGAAATTGCATTCCAACAGCATAGAATAATAAACCTACAATTTGTAAATTTAATATTTTATACTTCTTACACTCGTTAATATTGTCGAATTTTCAAATCGATTACATTGATTTAAATGTTCCATTACATTACACATTAGTTTGATCCACATATTGTATCGTCCTGATACTGAATGGCACCTAAAAGCGTTTCGGATGGTTATAAAATGATAAATTGCACGTACAACACCAGTGCTCGTTAATTGAGTACAAGTTGCAAGAGATGCGTTGAAACGTAAATTTCAAGTACGACATTTATAGTGGCTCGCATTTACCGGCTAATTTTCTCTTCGCGTACACAACTACTACAAAGTCTTCGAGGCAATGATTGAATCAAATTATACAGGTAAAAGAATAAACACCGATAAAAGCCCTACCCCCGTTATCTTGACGATGCACAATTAAAATCAATAAATTAAAGCGCTTAATGGAAAATAACAATGATATTGAAATAAAAACAAATACTTTTATCGAGCAAAAGACACGTGAAACCCACTCAAGTCTGGAAGCTCAAGACCCGAAATAATTACCAATGCAGGCACTCTGCAGGTAGGCAGATGTCGTGTATGGAGTGGCAGAGGCAGCGCATTATACGCGGTATCGAGCGAAACAAAAGGAGAGAGAGCGATAAATGTCATCTGAGAGAGAGAGAGAGAGAGAGTTGGAAGCGTGTCAAGCTCTGGGACGTTTACCTCGACAGACAAAACGTGAGTGTCACACGCCATATAGATACCGATACTGAGATACACACACACATATATATGTATAATACACACCGAGGGCGAGCAAAAGAGAGAGCTCGCGATGCGTCGTACCGAACGTGGAACGAGATTTATTGATTTTGGCGGTCCCTGAGCCGCCCTCCCCTTTGCGTTCCTCCTTTTTCGCCCCTCGTCGTCTCTTTCTCTCTGTTTCTTGCCGAAGCTCGAGAAACTGGGATAAGTACGGCCCGAACTTTCGGGCTAGACGCCGCGGCCGCGCTCTATCTCGGCTTCCTCTGATCCCATCTTTTCTTCATCGGAATGATGCCGTCACGGCTCCTCTCGCTTTTTATTGCACCTAAGGCTTCCCCGTTTTCTCGCGCTCACTTGTACGGCATGCGATGTGTTTTTTACGCTCGGATGGCCCTTTTCCAAAATCGTTGTTGGTGCAGCGAGGCTTCTGCGGTAGTACCAGCAGATCGAAACTTTACTCCCGTAGCTGTGGCTGGATTACCTCCGTTTTTTTCGTGAAATAATTACCATTTTCTCTGATATAAAGTTGAAAGTGTGCAACCATAGGAAAGTAGCTAATTATGCATTCTACTGTTTTTTAAATAAAAATTTTCTTACGTAAACCGAAATAATGTTACCATAATGCAGTTACCATAATGCAGTCACATCAAAGTCGTACCTATTTCATAGTTTTTCAGTACTTTTATCAAGTGTCATCAAAATTACAAGTGCACCGTGAATTAACTGAATGCACTATAATTGTACCAGAAATATCTTTTTAATTAATATTTAATGGAATATGAAATTTAAATTAAAAGTTTTGCAATATGGAAAAAAATTAAAAGTTTTCCAATATTTTAGCGAACGGTATACCTGTAACTTTGAAATATTGGTTTTTTGTAATTTAATAGTCCGAAAGCAGGCACGAAAATATTTCAATAAAACGAATAAACTGTATCGACGATTCAATTACCGATCCGTTAAATGAATTTTTTTTTTTTTTTTTCGAAAACCAAACCAAGCATTTCGGCAGGGATAAAACGAAAGTCAATACAAATGAACGGGACAAAATTGAATGAACCTTTTTTTCCTCCCCCATCCCCTTTCACCCGGCACCCATCTCGTACAAAACAGTCGCGTAACTTAATGACAAATTTTGCTGCGCAAAATCAGGTCAGCCCGTAGCTCTTGCATGCTGTACGCTTAATTCAATTTTTATAACCCGCTCGAGCCAGGTCGCCTTTTGTGCGCGCGTGCACTGTTTCAATATACTCTTTCGACCGAAGCTACCTTATATATACTTATACGTATATTATACCCCGAAAGGGCTAGTCTTTCAATTTTCTCATATTTCGAGGAGCGTTTGCGGCGCAACGAAATTACGTGTGATCGAGCGGAGTTTGGAAAAACCCCCGCGAAAGATGGATCCCTTTAGGGGATGAGAATCCCTCGGAGCTTATTAGAAAACCGCAGCCCGGATCCCCGAGCTCCTTGGGATTTGCGTGCACTCTCGTTTCTGTGCCTAGCCGGTAACCCACGGATCGATCGGATCGTTTCGAACAATTGACAGCTACTGATCGGCGGGGGGTTTTCTTCGGGGTTGCGGGCCCCACCACTGAGTTACGAGATGAACAAAGTTCCGTAGCTTTATCTTGCGGCTACATGCGAATAATCGCGCTTGATGAGCTTTTTGATTGTTTTTCGAGTTTGAGAGGACTAAAGAGCAGCTTTGCGAGCGCGTATGCCAGAGGAACGGGGGCGGGGGTTGATTTCTCAAAGATCGGAAAATTAACATTATTTTTTACAAGTGCACCCTAGAAGTTTTAGTTGTTAACTTGGTTTTGTCGCGGTAAAAGCTTTTACATCGACAAAGTTGGGTGCAATAGGAAAAAAAAAAAAAAATTTACCGCACTACGTGCACTTGAGAGGCACTTCAAAGGAGAGGTCCTATTAATATCCTTGTCACTCATAGTACAAAAAAAATCTCATTTTTAGCACAAAATAATTAAATTATTGGATTTTCTCTCAATTTTGTCCAACTCGTTATTGAATGCGTGTCTGAGAAAAAGTTTATATTTTCGTCCCAAGTACTGAACTTGGCTTAAAAATACCAGGTCGATTCAACGAATTAATAACATTCGTAATTGGATCGCACGTTAATTGCTTACACGAGATTTTCTACTCGTGACAAAAAAAATTTCTTTTAATTTTAATGACTTCATATGCTGTAATTAATTAGTTGAAAAAAAGTACTTCTATTTACGCTTTAAATTCATCATCAAAACAAATTTTACACCTCTGCTTCTAGACCTAGCGATTAAAAATATTTAATTCCTTGTCGTAATAATAATAATATGACAATTTATTTTTCAAAATAACAAACAAACAATTTGAGGATTGATTAAAAAAATTCTCCCTCAAAAATTATACAGAAATTTAGAGCTTGATACAAAGTATATTTATGTATAAATATATTGATTACAAATAGTTATGAGCTCTTTTTACCAATTTTAATGCCATTAATACTGGATTTATATGAGCTAACAAGTGTCAATCCTGCATCCATGCAAAAGTTTTCAACACTAAATAAAAAAATTTGGTAGTAATCTGTAATTAAATTTCTTAAATGACCCATAAAATTATAAAATTGCAATTAGAGAACCATCAGTAAGTAATGATCGAGGCAATTACATATGTAAATCATAATGCAAACAAGTTTTAACCACGTATAACTTTTATAATATTTTAAGTTAAAAATATTTTTATCATTTACTGAACGGCTGTTGATCATGGTAAAAATTAACATCACAACTGTGCAATTAGTGACTGACTGCAATTTTTGCATTTCTGCTCAGAAAAATCTAACAAGAGAAGACTCGTAACAAGGCCACAGACAAAAAATTTCATCTTTCTTAAATCAGTCGTGAGAAAACAACCTTGCCACGACCGTCTCGTGGATTTACAAACTCCGACAAAAAAACATGCAGTCTTTACTTTGGACGTCGAGGCAGAAGAAAACACTGCGTACTTCTTTTCCCTTCGAAAGCACCTTCCCCTGTTTCCCTCCTCTTCTTCTTCTTCTTCCGTCGTATTTCAGAGCACGAAACATACCCACTTGCATCGTAAAGAACTTTTGACTGCCAGCTTCGCTCGATAATTGCAGCTTTTACGAAAATTACTCTACTCAAAGATCAGTACTTTTCACTCGCGGAGAAAACAATCGAGACCGTACATAGTGATCCCCTTTCCGCTCGCGAGTATAATTAAATCACCGAGGCGCCAAGGCCGCGTACCATTCAGCTACTTTATTTCTCGAGGCGCGAATAATCTGGCTCTCTGCCGAGAGCCACGTCTTCTTTGAAATTCCTGCAGCGGAGCCCTTCTTTTCGTATCAGCTAATGATTTTAAATCGCAATGATTACGTCCAAATCCCCTTTTCTGCCAGCAAAAGTTCAATAGAACACCGTGACGATAAAAGACCCTTACCGGCGCAAAAGGGTTAGCCTCTCCCCCCCCCCCCACAGTGAAGACGAGCTATCACGAGCCCTCGCCCTCCGCC